GTATGTAGTACGGAAGATTTTTTTTTTTGACAACCACTCCACTTCCCTGCTCTCATACTGGAGAATTCCCAGTGCTATGAGTACAGAGCAACGGAATTTACTCAGATACACTTCCCAAAACACTTAGTTCAGAATCAATTTAGAAAAGAACATTTTCCAAATTGGTCCTACCAGGAATCGAACCCGGGATATATCCTACTCCATATCCTCTATGGATATGGATACTCCATATCCAGTGCTCACCTTGGGCCACCGAGGTCGTCATCAGATTATTTTCATGAATCTTGTATATCACTAAAAGAAAAGTGGAAAAGATAGTCACTAAAATACTAATTTAAATTAATTTTAAATGCAATTAACTTTTTATTTTACCAAGTGACAGGATGTTCAAGTAGTGCACCTGCAGGTACGCGACATGCCTACTTATAACAGTAGCAGTGCCACTCAGAGCTTTAAATCGCAAAGCCCAAATGATAAACTCACGACCCGTGACTGGATTCACGGCCCACGCCGCGGTTTTCTTGTAAACGTGCCGTGGAAAGAGGTCCGCACAAGCGCGCCCGAACTCGCCAGTAACGGCCTGTCCGCGTCCGTCTCTGATCTGTAAGACTCAATTGACATTCCGGAAGCGCCAATTTCGGTCGTTGGAATGCTCGAGCATTCCTGCGAATGTTCGAGCATTCCAGCGACTTCTCATTGAGGCTGTAATATTTCGTCGACGTTTGACGTCACACTGCGCCTGTCTTCGTGCCACTTCCCGCGAATCAGCCAGGCGTCGCCGACCGCAGCTGCGGAGTTCTTGCGAATGCGCAAGCATTTCCGAGCATGCGCGAGAATTCCGCGGAAGACGCGTGACGTGATTTTTGGCTCGTATCTAGTTTGTGCGTTATACAAATTGACCAAAAAGTTCATTAGGCAATGTACAATATCGTTACAAAAATTCGCTTCCATTCTGTTCAGCCGCAACATCCTAAATAGAGCCTAACTTTCAACGCGCGGCAAGACAGCACACGCGGCCTAATTCTCTCGATACAAATCCGAATATGCGCCGCAACGCGCGTCGGCTTGAGACCGCGCAGAGACGAACATGTTTGTCTGCCCCGGTTGCATGTGTCCGGGATGTCTGTCTCGTGGGCAGCTAGCGCGTCTTAGTAGCGATATAGTTGCGGGCCTGCATGTGAGGAGACGCGCGGAGCACTTGAGTTGCCCTTTAGGTGGGAAGCTATGTCCGAACATTGTCGCATGACACTGCGCCTGGCATCTCCGGCATTGGCCCGGAGAGCTAGTAGAGGATAAGCTAGATATTCTCCGGTCGCTCCAGCCGCTTAGGTTATTGGGAACTGGAGAAACGTCGTCTTTCGACGTCGGGAAGTGAACGTACGTTACAGCTCCGCCACCTAGGAGGAGATTTGGTAGTGGACTCAGAGTCGACGGATTTGCGGTGGCAATTGCTAGTTGTGCAATGCGCAACGGGAATTGAGCGTACCTACAGCTCCGGTACCTATCTGGAAAATAGGGAGGGTACTGTACGTGCACCCAGGGCGGCTCACCTGAGGCACTAGCCTCTCGAAGAACTCGATGAAGCAAGTGACAGAGGTCTGTGAGAACCCTGTACACTGGCTGCTCTGGGGTCAGAACCTGAACTTGTAAGGTTCCTGTGCGCATACAGGTTATAGTTTCCTTCTCGTATCGTAAGGGTAGGTAAGGGTGACCCTACTATAATCAAAACTAACGTAGAAAGATATGGTGCTTGTCCCGGTGTAAAGTAACGCCTCACTCTGGAAAGGATCCCAAGCTTCCTTGCTGCATGTTTGTCATGGATTCAACGTATCTGCCGAAGTACAAATTGGACGACAGGTCTATTCCAAGTAGCTGGAGACAGTCGGCTATCGGTATGGATATATCACGAAAAGTCGGAGTGAGCTCAAAAGAACTCCGTTTTGTGGAGAATAGACACGCCTGCGTTTGGTAGCGTTAAATTTGACAAGATTGGCATCGCCCTAATCGGAGACTGCCTTGAGCGTCAAATCCAAACGGCTAACCATAGACTCCCGACAAGACTTGATTTCCTGTCCACTTACCTTTGCATTGGTCAAGTACCTATCTACAACTGTGTTGTCATCAGCATACGCAAAGGTACCTGGAATTAATATATCATTGATATGCAGTAAAAAGAGAATTGCAGACAGTACGGAACCCTGGGGATTCTATCTCTTTATGTTCGGAAGAGTAGCCTTCTAAGACCTCTCGAATCGAACGTTTGCTCAAGAAATCCGAGATCCAATTGCAAAGTGGGAAGCCCATAAAAAGGAAGCTTACTTAAAAGGTTTGCGTGCCAGACCCTGTCAAAGGCTTTAGAAATATCCAAAGACACTGCAAGTGCTTCACCTTGCTTTTCTATAACCTCGCTCCATATGTAACAGGCATACACAAGATTCCCAGTTGATCGCCCTTATCGGAATCCGTACTGGCGATCACTGAGGAGATCGTTGTCTTCAAGGCACGACAAGAGACGGTTGTTGATTACATGTTCCATAGCCTTGCAGAGTATGGAAGTGACTGAGATAGGTCTATAGTTGATAGAGTCAGCTCTGCTTCCCGTTTTCGGCACAGGTTGCACGTTTGCAAGCTTCCACCACCTGGGAACTACACCAGTCTCAAATGAGAGGCGGTACAGGGGTAGGCGTGTGAGAACAGGAGACAACTCAGGCGCACTGTTATGTAGGACTAGTGCTGGAATTCTATCTGGCCCGCTAGCTTTAGCTATATAGTATATTTACTATTCTCATAAATGAGCTCATTGTGTTATTGTATAATAAATAATAGGCGTCACGCTGTGACCCGCGACAATTTTGATAATAACAACTTTTGTGACGATAAAAATCGCGTAAATTAAGCCAAGCATCAACGCTGACTAGCCTTACACAATTTTCAGGATCATTTACGTAATTTGGCTTAGGTCAAGCCTGCACGATTTTTCTTTTTCGGCTGTTTAGAACACAAACTTAACTTCTAAATCGATGTAAATCTACCACTAATCTTTTGTACAGTACTCGTGGACGTGACCCAAATACTCCAACTATGCCTCGTCATTCTGAATCAGTTTCCATGGCAACCATAATGAATTAACAAGAAAATGTACCCAGTCCACGTACGAAACGCATGCCTACTTTAGAATAAGCCTTCAAATTAGACGCTTATGTTGTATTCAAGCAACCGGCAACTATACTCTAGCCAAACTCGATGTAGAATGTTTAATAACAAAGCGTTGCTAGGCAACCAATGATGGCTGGTGTGAAGAACCTTTTTTGTCTATGCTCTTTACTTTAGGCCTCTACGTTATTATTTTTAGAGTTTAGGCTAACTCTGCCCATAGCCTGCTGCGTAATTGGAATTTAGATAGGTAAGAGATTGTGCAGAAGTAATACTTACATAGCCAATTAAATGAAGTTTGCAAAGTACTTATTGATACGTATGATGAATAAGTTTCAAGTTTTTGATATCTGTTTATACTTACTGTTAGATCAGTGTTGGGCAAAGTACGGCCCGCGAGTCTACTCTGGCCCGCAAAGGGCTATAATCCGATATCCGCCAAGGTCAATCAACTTTTTTACAGACACCACGCAACGTAGTGAATGTGTAAAAAAATAAACAGAGGCTTTGATAATCCTAATCTGAATTGATATTACGATTTCCTAGTTTTATATCTTGAAATGTCTCTAGTATATATCTAGCGACGTTTATGGATTATATTTCAAAATATTAATGAAAAACTTAAATTTTTCCCTCTCTTGTGTCTACTGGGTCACCATAATTTATATCGTAAAAAAACAAAGTTTCAAGTAATTTTTTTTTAATTATTAGCTCTGGATGAAATACTATTGAAGTTTGATCTCCTGACTCACCAATCACACAAAATTTATGTAATTTTTTTCTATAAATATTTTATGAAATAGGGCAAAATGAATAATTTTTAGAAATTTGATTTAGACTACAGACTAATTGAAGTTTTTTTATTAATTAGGAAATGTTAGCTAATTCATAAATTTTATTTAAAAATTTTGGGATAGTAAAAAAGTTGATTGACCCGCCAACGTCCCTTCTAAAGAAGGAATGTATGGCCCTCGGAAATATATGTTTACAGCCTCGTCGATATCGGTTCACAAAATTAACATACACACAAAATTACAGAACACTACACAATAATAAAAGAAATATTTGAATTTCAAAACAAAATGCATTTTTTTCATTCTGATCCCTTGTGTAACTTCTTTTTTTCTGGCTCCTAATGAAAAAAGTTTCCCCAACCCTGTGCTAGATAGTAGGTAACGGTAGATGAAAAAAAACAAAGTTGTAAAATTTTATTTTATATTACTTTAAATAAAACATCTCATCCAGTGTCACTTTCTGATGCTGATGAACTACTACTACTACCACTACTATCTGCAACCTGGATGATAAATTCGTCAATAACATTATCTGTTATACCATCCAGGTCTCTCATTCTCTTTTCCTCTTGTATAACGTGGCCAATACACTTTTGCCATGCTGCAGGGGTTATTAGATCCATTGATTCCTGTAATAATCTTTTTAATTCATCCATTTTAAATGTTTTATTTTTCCCTGCAACATAGCCTTTGACTTGCCCCCATATCATCTCAATTGGGTTTAATTCACAGTGATATGGGGGCAAACGTAACACTTCAATATCCTTTTCTTTAGCATATGTATCAGTTGCATATGCCAAGTATTTTTCTTTTATTGGTTTTAATATGTCTATAAGCTCCCTTTTTATTAATGTCTCCTGGAACGAGATACCTTTACTTGTGAGCCAATTCTGAATATCAACTTTTTTCCACTGCATATTTGGTATTCGTTCCAGTCGACGAGAATGATAGGGAGCATTGTCCATCACTATAACAGAGTGAGGCTCAATTAAATTTATAATTTTTTTGAACCAATCTTCAAACACTTTAGCGGTCATTTCTTTATGGTAATCGCCTTCCCCTTTCTGACTCTCGAAAATTAGCTGACCCCCTTCCAAAAATCCAGCTTCATTTCCTAAAAGAAAAAAGAAAGGTTATTGATGACCACCGAATGGAGGTTCAGCGAATGCTGAAAAGTCTATATCAACCAGTGTTGATATTGGAAGTCTTATTATGTACGCTTGGTTCACACAATGGGCTACTCTGTTAATTAATTTTCACATAAGTAAGAATTAATATTTTGACGATACGCCATCAAAATATAACAACTTACCAATGTGCACTATTATCAACCGCTTCCCTTTTCCAGAAGGCCCCTTCAATCCTGTAGACAATCCTTCTCGGTGAGCTTGACGGGTTGAATGTATTGTAGTATCTTGCCACACCTTTGTTTTTGTATGACCTTCAATAAATAAGAAACAATAATGTAAATGATGAAAGAAATCTGTACTGAATATTGTGGTAGTTATTTATAAAATCACTGATATAGCTTTCAGTATTGATTTCAGCTATGGAGTCTATAATGGTGTATTAGGAATTTTGTGAAAATTGTAAACGGATTGTTGAAATACATACCTTCATTAATCCATGTTTCGTCAGTGTAATAAATTTTCCGCCCATCTTCTCTCATTTTTGAAATTTTTTGCAAATAGTTGCGCCTCCATCTTACGATTTCTCTTTTCTCAATTAGAGCACTTTTTCTTGATCTTTTTAAATATTTGATTTGTAGTTTTTTAAGTAATTTTTGGAAAGTTGTTCTTTTGAAATTTGGTAAATCATCATCTTCGTTTACTGACATAAGAACATTGTCCACAGTGGGAAGTTCATTTCTAAAAAAGAACTCATGAACTTTTCTCCTAATAGCACTCAACTCGAAATCTAAAAGTTTGTCAATTATCGTTGCTCTTTGAGGAGGCGCAACGGGTGAGCTAACACGGTGCTCATTTCTGTACTGTTTCAGTACCTTGTAGACTGTAGCAAGGCTTACGCCGGCGGTCTCCGCGGTTTTCTTAGCCAAATCCTTTTTGTACCAGAATTGATCTTTTGGCCAAGTATCTTCAACGAGTTTATATATGTTGATTATAGTAGTCTTTTCGGAAGACCTCAGAGCGGATTTCTTTTGGCGCTTCTTCATGGGCGTTGAAAAAAGCTTCGTCGAGCTTGGTCCAGGTTGGTCACTCATTGTAACACAATAACAACAAAACCGTAACAAATTATAACAGAAAGTCAACAAAAACACTCAACAAATAATAACTATAACAACAAAAACTCAAAAAAGCAGAATCGCACGGAAAGAAAAGTACTTCTATTACTGACACAGAGACAAGCAAACAAGTGAGTGATGGCGTCGGCCATTGTTTGTTTACAAATTTGCGTTCCGTTCCACACCAGTTTGAAATGTATTTTATGTTTTCAAAATAATATTAATTACTGCCGATTTACATCGCTATATTTTATAGCAATTCGCTTATCATTTACAATAATAAAATATTTTTTATATTTTTAAATCACGTTTTGTTTATTTCAAGCAGATTTCTTATTTTTTGGCAGTTACCAATAAGTGAAGATGCTACGTTTCGTGGAACGTTATACGAAGGTCAATAATACGTCTAAATTAAAATGCAGTTATTGTTTTGAATACTATAAGGATTGTAACGGTGTTTTTTATTTACAGACTTATTACAAAAGTGCATAAATGTTTGCAAACCCTTCCTTCAAATCAAGAAACCATTAGGGATGAAACAGTTTCATAAATAATTAGTTACTGGTAATTTTTATATTGGTTTCCAATCACTTACTAGTGGTTTGAAATTTCTTTGCAACAAAATTCATCACAGACATGACTACTAGATTAGTATCATCAATGACCTAATAGAATTTCGTGGAAAAATATTGAAATTGTGGTAATCGTAAAACAGTTTGAGGTGAAAACCCTAAAAATCATATGTTTTTGTTTGTTTACATTTATTCTACATCGAGTTTGGCTGGAGTATAGAAGACAATATTCAATTTTCACACAATTAATATGAAATCGATATAGTCGCCGGTTGCGGCAACCGGACGCAATCACGCGTTGTGGCAGTCGAACATAGTCTCCGGTTACGGCAACCACAACCAGGGCTGGGCAGTATTTGAATTACTTGTATTTGAAATACGTATTTAAAATACAAATACGTATTTTGTATTTGTATTTCAATTACTCCCTAAAAATGTATTTTGTAATTGGTATTTCAAATACCTGACCGTAATGTATTTTGTAATTTGTATTTCAAATACTTTCGTTGCAAAATACATTTCAACAAAATACTTTTTTCTTTTCAATGTACAGCCTATTTTGTGACGTACATAGATTTATATCAGTGTTGGGCATTGATAATGATAATATATTTATTGCAGTTTACATAATATAAATAATACAAATTTTACACTATATTACGTATACATGTAATATACTGTAAGGGCATAGCAATATAAAAACTTATAATATGGTTTAATTACATTTCAAGCCTTAGCAATAATTATTATTACAAAATTTCTTATTATATTTCTTATCATATATATAAACATATTATTAATTGTACAATTATGTGTTATACTAGTTTTAATTCGACCATAATAACATTGCATTTACTCCATTATATAACATGTTATCTACTTCATTTTATTTATTTATTCACATTAACTGCCTCCGTGGCCGAACGGTTACCATGCCGGACTGCCACGCAGAGGTCCCAGGTTCGATTCCTGAGCCGGGAGAAATATTTGTATGGCCTGTAATTATTTCTCTCGTGAGTTTGGGTGTAATTTGTGGTTGTCTATGTGTGTGTCCATGGCACCCGCGACACAGGGTTTCCCTAGTGCGGGGCTATGTTGAGTGTGTGCGTTATATTATTATTACATAGGTACAATGAAAGACATATGAATCCTGTAATATGAATATGATAATAATGGACAGCAAAATAGGAATGAGGCAGATCAACGCTATAGCAATTTATCATCAAGATATTGTTGCACTGTATAGTAAGTTTTATTAGAAAGAATGTTTTTTAAGTTATTTATGAAAATACTTGTTTTATTTTCTTGCTTTATATGCTCCGGTAGTTTGTTGTATATTTTTATCGACATTGAATATGGGCTCGATCTATGCATTTCCAATTTTGAGAACGGTGTTACAAGATTATTTCCGTATCTTGTGGGATGGTGTCTTGGTTCGTCTCGCAGTTTAGTGTAAAATTGTGGGTACTTTTTTATAAATTTGCAAATTTCCAAGATGTAAATTGATGTTAGGGTTAAGATTTTGTATTTTCTAAAGAATGGTTCACAGCTCTCTGTTCTTGATATATTTGCTAGTATTCTTACGCAGTTTTTTTGTTTAATAAAGAGGTCATTTACAGTTGTACTATTGCCCCACAATATGATGCCGTATGATAACCATACATAAGCGTACGCATAGTAAGCACTTAGGGCAGTTTGTAAATTTGTTGACTTCTTTATTTCTTTTAAGGCGTAAGTAAAACCAGATAGCTTTTTTGTGATTTTTTGTACATGGTGCTTCCAATTTATATTTGTATCGATATCTATTCCGAGTAAATTAAATGTATTGACGGTTTCTATTTGTATTTGGTTATACGAAAAATTAATATTTAGTGATGGTTTTTGATAGGGTCTAAATTCTATAATTTTGGTTTTTGTGAAGTTAATTTCTAAATTGTGATCATTCATCCATGTTACAATTGTAGTTAGTGTATTGAAGTGAAGGGTTTGATTTAAGTGGTCACTATTTTTACAAGAGGTTAATATTGAGATGTCGTCAGCGAAAAGAACACATGAATCGTTTATTACTTTTGGGAGGTCATTTATATAAGCCAGGAATAGTATGCACCCAATGACGCTTCCTTGTGGTATCGAATTGTTCATGTTTTGGGGCTCAGATCTGACTTGAGTTATTTCCCCTGTCTCATAGTTATAATGCTCGATTTCTACATACTGGATCCTGTTTTCTAAATAGGATGCGAACCATTTATGAATGTCACCTCGTATACCCATTCCGTAAAGTTTATCCAGTAAGATATCATACCGAACTTTATCGTATGCCTTTGACATGTCCAATAGGATACCGATACCATACTTTTTTTCATTTGTATCCAGAATCTTTTGCATAAATTTGTAAGTCGCAAGTGTAGTTGAACGATTTTTCCGAAAACCATTCTGCGACTCATCAAATATATTGTACTTTTCACAGAAAGAGTATAGGCGGCTACACATTGCCTTCTCAAATACTTTCGAAGCCGCGGGCAATAATGCAATGGGTCTGTAATTACTCAGATCATACTTACTTCCTTTTTTGAGGATCGGTTTTATCAGGGATTGTTTAAGAAGATCCGGGAACACACCCTATGCAAAAGACTGATTGACAAGCGTATAAAACGGAAACGTCAATTCGTCTGCACATACCCTTATAAGCGCGGATGGTATCTCGTCTATTCCATAGCTGTATTCATTTTTTAGATTACGTATAATTCTGTATCGTTCCAATTTTAGTATATGTACTGCCGAAGCAAGTACGTTAATCAATTAAATTTCAATCAGATTAAAAAATCTATTCAATTGCAACTGATTTCGATTGAATTGATTTTAATTGCAATTAGATTAATTTTATTAGTTGTTCTAAGAAACAATTGAAACTAACAATTAAAACCGAAACTATCAAGTAAAAGTGTCATCACGAATATGGGTTAGGGGATGGGTTTGGGGTGTGTTAGGGGGTCGGTTAGGGGGCCGGTTGAGGGTCGGTTAGGGGTCAGTTGGGGGTCGGTTAGGAGGTTAGTTAAGGGGTCGGTTAGGGAGTCGGTTAGGGGTGGACCCCCTAACTGACCCCTTAACCGACCCCCTACCTATCCCCAACCGACCACTTAACCGGTCCCCAACCGACCCCCCAACCGGACCCTAACCGACCCCCTACCGACACCTAACCGACCCCCAAACCGACACCTTAACCAACCCCCTACCGACACCTAACCGACCTCCAACCGGACCCCCTAATCGAGCCCCTATCTGAGCCCCCAACCTTCGTGGTGGTATTATATGTGAAGAACTACATACAAAAAATATATGTAATTAGATTGAAGTCGTTGTAAATGACGAAGTAAATGCAAGTGATCAATCACTTTTTTGCAAAGAGCATCTATTATATGTATGTATGTGTATATGTGTGTGTGTGAGTGCGTGTGTGTGCGTGCGTGCGTGCGTGCGTGCGTGCGTGCTTGCCTGCGTGCGTGCGTGCGTGCGTGCGTCCGTTTGTGTAAAGCGGAACGTTCAAAAAATGAAGTATGAAATTATTTGATTTTTAATTCGGGACTTATTCACGTATAAACATATTTTATTTACCTCGACTTTTCGGACATATTGCAATGTCCATGGTCTCGCAAGGACTGAAGAGGCGGGTGTCAGCATCTTCTAGTTGTGCGAGTTTTTCTGACTACCCGCACTTTATCTTCATTACTTATTTGTGCACTAGGGTTCTCACTACACCGACACACAACACTCACGACATCTTAAATACTCGTATTCAATGCAGTAGAAGCACATTTGCAGGTGGCAACAGTGCTGGTATTGTCAAAGACGTCAAAGTCATCTTTTCGCGGTTATAACTTAGAGTAGCAGGGTTCTAGGGTTATAGCCGCCATTTTGCGGTTGGTTTAAATGGCACATTTGCATCCTTTATAGGCCGAGTAGATAGGGATAACGTATCGCGTGAGCGACTAATTTGTGTTGTGAACATGTTATGAATGGCATTTATACGTATATACAGTATTCGACATGTATAGGAATATTAATAATAATTATACGTACTTCGTGCTCTGAAGTATGGTTGTATTGGTTTAACAGTTTTTTTCTGGTAAAACTGAATATTTAAAACTTCTTTTTCAAGATATGTATTGTGGAAGGAAATCCTTTGAAGGAAATTGTTGGTTTCCACATGTCGCGATAAGTATACTAATAAAGTATTTTGTAATTTGTATTTGTATTTTGTATTTTAAATACACCCCATGAAAGTATTTTGTATTTTGTATTTCAAATACACCTCAAGAAAGTATTTGGTATTTTGTATTTTAAATACATTTAAGGAAGTATTTTGTAATTTGTATTTCAATTAAGATGTAGCATGTATTTTGCCCAGCCCTGACCACAACTGTATGAAAATAGAATGTTCGCTTCTAGTGACACACGTTTTTGCGACGCCAAAATTACTGAGTAGTCCTTCCGAAACAATTACTTCAAATAAGTAATATTCGACCAAATCAAAAAACAATGTCAAGTATGAAGCTTCATTCGCATATGCCTCTTTTAATTTGGTCAAATATTACCATTGGGGGCGTAGACCCCATCGTCGCGCCACTGCAACGCTTCTAAAGGTATCTTATTTGAAGGCGCCCTTGCGGGTACAACACGCACTTAAAGTTTCGAGAAAGGTTTTGTAATAAAATAGAATAATTTCATCAACAAAACTTAATCAACCTTATTTGTTTCAGTACATGTACGAAAATGGCACAAACGACGACGGTTTATTAAGCCGCGAGCGTTTCATCGAAGTCAATCAACGGATGGAGGCTCGAAAGGAGTACCTGAGATCGCAGTGTTCAAAACTTGGCCTCGACGATTCGAGCCACAAGGCCTATGCGTGGGAGTACCTTATTAACAGACAGTACCATGTCATATGGTAAGCACGTAATTACGCACCTATTCAAATTTAAGATAATGATATTTGGTTTTGGTAGCACATAGTACAGCGCCTATATATATTTTTTTAATTTATTGAGGGACAAACAGTTACACATATATAAAAAATACATATTTTAAAATTAACTTATAAATAAACCTATAGCCCCCAAATATACATTAAATAAAACAAAAAGTAGGTAAACAGACAATCTGATACACAATAAATATACAAAATATTAAATTAAAAACGTGTTTTTTATCACCATCGTCGATTTAACCTTCGAGTTCACCCTCTATTGTCTATTATTCACCCTCTATAATCTATTTAGAACTTATACGACGCAGTAAGGTCATTGCTACATCGGTGAGGAGGTCTTACATGATTGATGGTTTCGCCACGACACTGTACACTAGTCGACCAACAATTATTTTCGGAACCCTGAAATTGTAGCGTTGAATGTTGAGTTAGTGTTGAGTTCGGAGATCAATGTTGTTGTCAGTAAGAGACAATACTTAACAATAATTTTAATTTTATTTAAACAGAAATTAATTTTGTGTACGGCGAAGTTGATACCCTAAGTTACCTAACATCCTAAACATCTATTCGGTTCTGAGCAGATCAGTATTAAAAAAGGTGCTAAAGAAACTTAACCTTTACCTGTGAGCCGTAAAATTAATTTTGGGTATGACTTCTTTGCGTCATTAGTTAATGACGTTTAAGAAACTTTTCAAATCAATTTGATCTTTATTCAAGTTAATTTCAAGCCATTTTCATATTACCTTTGCCATGCAAGTACATTAGCGATATCTGCGTATTTGTCAACTCTCATCCTCAATATTTTAAAACACGCGGTGAAGTCATTAAAAGGCAAACTAGAGCAAAAATTATGAATCTCTAATACCAACCTCGTTGCCATAAAGTAATTTATAAGAAGAACTGCTTCAACATGTGTATAATTATTTACAATAAATTACCAAAAAAGAAATTAAATTGTTACAAGGACATACTTTTAAATTAAAATTGACAAAATGGCTTTTGACACATTGCTTCAATAGTAATAAAGAATACTTAGAATTTACAAATTCATTACATTAATTACAAAATAAAGAGACTAAACATTGAATCCCATTAATATTTGCACATCTGCTTGCAGGTTGAATACAATGTGCCTAATTTTACTTAAGACCTTTGTAATTACTGTATTCTGGCAAATAAACGTATTCTATTCTATTCCATTCTATTTAATTATACTACATAAATACAAATTGTAAATAAAAAGCTACAATTCCTTAACTCTTTTTTGTTGAATGCGTAAGAAGTCTCTCAGACCCAAAAGATCGGCAATAGCCGAGCTCAATATAGCCAGTTATCTTAAGATAACGACTGTACACTGGATCTTTATCATAAAATAGCGATCTCTGCTTTATATGTATAGTGAAATGTCCTAATGACGTGGCTGATAATCGATGTATAAAATTTTGCGAAATTACAAAAGTACAAATCTATATTGCACATAGACCCAGTCTCAAAATAGACAAACGTAAATAAATGTTAAAAATCGCTTTCACAAAGCCACAATGAACTCCTACAATAAAACCCTTGTTTGTTATTCAAAATTTGGCTTAAACAAACTTTCATATTATTGTAAAACAAGAACTTTATACGGAAAAGTTTATTATACTTACAATTTCTGCTACCTTGGAAAATCAATGACATATTAAAATAAATATTGTAAATAATAAATGTAATCAAATATCTACATACCAATAACGACCATTTTTATTTCGCACAAAGGAATTTGTCTTACAAATAAACTGTAACGTTTATTCAATTCGTAACGTATTTACTTACTTACTAACCCGTGGCCCAAGGGGTCCCGGTGCAGATGAAGGCATCTGTACAAAATTTTAACCAAAAACTTAATATACCGTCTGGGAAATCCAAGGGCTACCTTGACCAACGCATGGGCATTATTATACAAAGGGGGAACACTGACAGCATCTTGGACACCGGGGACCCCATTTTATTGACATAATTTAATCTTATGCTAAGCTTCTATGAAATTATTTTAAATTTAACAGACTTTTAGATCGTAACCTTGGCTATAATAAAGACATAATATGTGATCATACGTCAAAAGTGCTTTCATCACATGGAACCTAGGCCAAGGTCAAAGGCATTGACCTAGGTCAATGCAGGAAAGTTATAAAAATAATACGTACTACACGATACAAATTACTGCATGTGAAGTTTTATAACGCTCCTATTTAAGCATAAAAGTTATAAGTAAACTAATTTCGTTGGTAAACTCCATAAACCTCTCTTCTGGAAAGTTGTAATTTGGCCTTATTGGCAAATGAGACCTTATTACACCAAGTGTGCGAGATACTTTCCCCTGTTCCCGGTAGTCTTTAGCAAGAATCTGATGAGTATTCATACTATTATTATGTCCGTTTTCATTCGCCCCAAAAAGCAAGAAAATTTCAACTACAGTACCGGCACGCTATGATGACCGTTTTGACAGATTACAATAGTGACATCAAATCTCAATTCATCGAGTCGCATCTATGGGTTTTTACATTTATAACTAGTATTGAAAAGGGTAGCTGGTTAAAAATTTTTAATAAAACGAAAATAATAATGTTTACTTAACATATCGTCAATTCGCAACTGCTTTGTTTTGCATTGAGCTTAGACGCGAGTTTGCCGGAGGTAGAAGTTGTGCTGGACGACGATCCTATAAGTGACGATCGTATTAGATATTAGACTTCATTGTTAATAATTTCTAATTTGGAAAAAAATTCTGAGTTGTGTCGTAAAATTATACATTCATAAATTTTACCGCACGTCACTATTGACAAACAATGTGCACCAATTTGCTCTTTCAACGTAGTTATGAATTAATAGGAAACTTCATGAGCGGACAAACGCCAAAACGGCCATTATAACCTACTATATAGATTTCATATTTTGTATATTCCAAACCATATATCATATTTTTGTCCAAAATGGTCCCTACCGCCTCCCACTGGGCGCTGAAGAGTTCTAGGGAGGCGGTAGAGGACTCGGAAGCAAATGGCGTTAATGTACTCCAGAGGGTGATACCGCATTTGAAAACAAAACTGAATTATCTATATAAATTACACTACATAAGCATTCTTTTTTACTTCTGAGTTTTTGTGTTACGTAATATAAAAAATACGTGTTTTCAATTGTTTTTTGTGGCTGGGCGTTGAAATTTTTTTATCTTGCCTAAGTGGGCGGTGAGCCAAAAAATTTGGGAACCTATGTACTAAATGATTACCACTAATTTTGACTAACTAAGTAACTAAATTCACTAACAGGTTTCTTTGCAAATCATACGATTTCTTTTTATTTTGCCCATATTTCGATCCGATTTCACGGTTAGTGAGCGTAGTTTGTCGGGAAAAGTGTGAGTAACACTGGTAACGTCACAAGTTTTAGTAGCAGTAGAGCTCCTTGTAAAAGAGTTCGTCCAGTGAAGTACTGCCTTACCTTACCTATTACCTAGTCATGTGAGCATTACTGTGTTCCGTTGGAAGTGTAAGGGTGCTGGTGATATTACAGGCACATGGGACTTGTTGAGTTATATCTTAGGGTGACGGGCACAGTGGCAGTACCCCTAAGATCTTTGCGATTAAAAACTCTAAGTGGCACTGCAACTGTTATGGATAGGCGAGTCGTTTACCACCAGACGCACGACTTGTTTGTCCCATCACTTGGTGTTATATAAAAAGTACCCGAGATGAAAGTAGGCGTCGACAGGGAAAGAGTGTAGACAGATGTTCTATCATGGTTAAGGAAGCAGAACTGTACAAATACAGTAATGTATGTACAAAAATCGGATTCTGGACTAACCCTTTTACGCGGGCTGTCATAGTGACAGTCACCATAAGGCCGTGCCTACCACATCGACAGATATGTCTTTTTTTATAGCTGTCATCTCTCGGTAATCAATCAACCCGTGACCCATTCCGTGAAAACCCGTTCCGAAATATCGGGAAAATAAAGTGAAATGCTGTGATAGGAAACCTGTATAATCTTTATAAACAGCGTTTAGCGCAGTTTTCACGACATTTTGAATAAATTACATTCAACGAGAGCACGAATAATCCATGAGAGACTCATCGGTGTATAAGTTGTAGCACGATAATGTTAAGTATCTGGAACAAAGAATTAGCAATATATTTTTGTATAAGATGAATGTATTCCATACATCAAGATAAATAAAATTTTGCAACGTTCTTTTCTAAATAAATCACTACCTATTTATTTCTTTATATACGACGTCACGCTTCATCAGGCAGAATGAAATTTACAAAGTTATTTTTAAAATAAATCACCACCTATTTATTTTGTTACATACTACATCATGGCTTCATCATGCTCTATTGTGGTCACAAAAGTTTAGAATACGTTCATGAACATAATATTTACAGAAAGGCTATAGACTTTATGCAATCATTGCATATTGAGGGTTCTTACATATAGGTACGAAATTTTTAGACCTAATTATGTAATGTTTGCATACAATACTTTTTCTACGAGTAAATTAAAATAAATAAAAATAAAAACAATCAATATTTAAAGCTTATTTTTGTTAACAATCCAGGACAACAAAACTAAAAAATCAATGAAATAGAATAGAAGTGTCCATGATTGGCAAAGTACCGCTTATATTTTAACCAATCAGATGGCAGTAGAGCGTTTAAGTACTGTATTGATTTTAAATAGTTATTTTTTGCCAAATGGTTATGCCTTTGTACCTATTATGGAACATTTTGAAATATTATTCAATAAAATAATTTGAATTTTAATAATTTCAAATTTTAACATAGTGACGTTATTCTGTTCAGAAACAGTGACGCGTTTAAGAAGACTCTTTTAAATAGCAAAAATACGAGTCCTTTTTTTGAAACTCATTATAGTTCTGTGTCATCGAGTATATAACCAGAAATAGAGACGAAATAAGGGCCATGTACTCCTGGTAACACATTAGCGATACAGCTCTTATAAATATCAACTTTCGTTTGCACTGAAATATAGACAGGCCAACTAGTGACCTGTGCGTACGTTTCCGAATATTCCAAAAAATATTCTGTATTTATTATAATAAAGGTAAATATCTCTAACAATGCCGTGCTGTTCTATTCGGTGGTGTGGGAAAAACAGCGAAACATCTAATTACAAAACAAACGGAATCACATTTCATCGGTAATTAAATATGTAATTTTGCAATTTTCGTCCATTATAGCAAAGCTCAAGTTAACTGGTCGATTTGAAGTGAAACAGTTGACGACACCCATTGACGACACCCGTCAATTGTTTCGAACTCGGGCTAGCCAATCGGAGCGCAGTTGTCACAGTAATGATATGGCAGAATAGTTTTCAAACAAATTAAATTACATTTCGTCTCTATTTCTGGTTATTTACTCGATGTTCTGTATACAGTATCATAGATAATAGAATTTTGATACAGAACTGAATAAAGCGCCTTTGTGATATAGTTTTTATGATTAAAATCGACAGATTAAAGTACAGGAGTAGAAATAAATTATTGAATTGTGGTAACAATGTTCACTTATGAACCACTGGCCACATGTATCAGAACATTTAAGGACTATTCACATTACACCGTGCCGGTCGCGAGCCGAGGCACGTACGAGGCTCGGATAGGAAATGCTGTGTACATTTTATATGAACTGATTAACATTACAACGTGCCGCGTCTGTGGCACGAATGAGGGACGCCCGAGCTACTTGTAATGTGAACACTCTCCAGTGCGTCGTACGCGCCCTGTCCGAGTGTGCGACTTTATAGAGAGTTACTATGTTCTCGTACGTTTAAAAAAACAAATATATGCGATTTAAATCCAGAAAAATAGTTTCATTTCCTATGTGTAACAATCGCGAAAACCTAAGAACTCGATACTAGGCTCTTTTTTAAAAAAAGGATGATGAAAAATTAATTGAGTGCGTAAGAAATTACCCAGTGCTTTATAATATGAATTAACACTACGTTCGTATTCGAGCGTAAACTCAAAAGACTCAGTCTAATTTAACGTCGTGCGGCACGTACAAGCCTCGCACGATCTAATGTGAATATGAATATGCAGCACGTCTGAGGCTCGAATGAGTCGGACACGGCTCGAACCCGGCACGGTCTAATGTGAATCATCCTTTAATCGAAATCAAAAGACAATTGAAGTTATTCTTTTTTCAAAAGACTTATAATGTGGCCAGTGGTTCATATGATTGTGAGATAGCGTGATCAGTCGTATCACAATCGTCCAGGAAACGTTTAGTTTGAAAAAAAAAATTACATCTTTATCTTTATCATTATGTCATGATTATGTCATTTGATTTCCATTAAACGTCGGTTATATTAGATTAGTATCTACAGTCAACGGCCCATGTGTAGCTTGATGTGTTGTCGTCTGTACATGGAAAACCTTCGAATAAAACTGAAAAGAAGAATAGATATGTGTTATAAAAAGCGACTACATAACGAACAAAATTATTATGCCAAAAATTACGAATACACCAGAATGAAGCGAACGTTTTTTTAGAAAAAAGGTGCAATAAATTGCGCCAACTAAAAATTACAAAATCACAGCTACAAATACAAACATCATAATAAGTCACATACAACACAAATTGCGGAAATGTCCATTGATAACAACGTGACATGATTACAGGTGCAACATTTTCAAGGCTGCTTCTACATCATGGATGTACAACTTCAATCTCATGGCGAATTACACAGCGGCGTTCCTTGATAAAACAAAAGATGTGCCACTAGAACTTGCGAGAAAGAAATATGCAAGGCCAACGGTAGAAATGATCAAGAAAGCCCAACTCGACTCTATATCTTTTTTAATTGTACGACATCCGTTAGAACGACTAGCATCAGCGTATAATGATAAGATTGTCCACGCTTGGCCTATGTCTTTTCATGACAAAATGGGATCTAGAATTGTTAAGAAATATAGAAAGGTAAGTGAAATTATCAACATATCGTACCATCAAGTATATAACCAGAAATAGAGACGAAATTTCATTTAAAATGTTTGAAAACTATTCTGCCAAACCATTACGATGACAACGGCGCACCGATTGGCCAACCCGAATTCAAAACAAATGACGGGTGTCGTCAATTGTTTCACTTTAAATTGATCAGTTTAATTGATTTTTTTCTGTTTTTCCCACACCAAGGAATGGAACAGCCCGCCATAATTAGAAATATTATCTTTATTACAATAAATACAGAATATTTTTGGAATATACGAACACATCCATACAGGTCAGTTTTTGGTGCTGTACTATTTCAGCTTTCTAATTTGTGATTTCAGTGCAAACGAGAGTTGATTTAAAAGTGATGTAAGGCCCATTTACCTCATGAGTTGCCAGTGATGGATGGCCCTTATTTCGTCTCTATTTCTGGTTATATATCGATGTACCCTTGGTTTAATATAAAGCCACATATACAAAAGTGCTTTTATCGATTAAAGTCATAAAACTAAAACGAACAATTTACGTATATGTGAAATTTTATAACTCTCCTTTTAAGCATACAAATGTTATCGACTAATTTGTCTGTCCTGAAAAGTTTTCATTTTAGCAGATGTGAACTTATTACACCAAGGGTGCTATATCAATGGCGAATAGTTCATGTGACACGATCCACATCGACAAGATCAATCAATTACCTTCAATTAATAAATACTAGGCGAACTTAATTTTTGGACCTGTTCTGTTTTTATTTTATTTGACTCTTTTTTTTTTAATTCGATTTTTTGTTTTTTTTCCAATGTTATTTTTTGTTTCTTTATTTTTCTCACAAAATTCAAGGAGCGTAATGTTAGTAAATAAATATGGCTGTGTAGTGTTCATTGGAGGTATCGAGATGTGCTGTCGACTTACAATAATTTTCATTAACAGCAGGTAAACGGCAGACCTTCACCTCCAGACCCGAAGTACCCACTCTTCGAGGAGTTTGTCAAGTATGTCCTGGATGAAGCCAAGTCAAAAAAACCATTGGACATGCATTGGACACCGTACAACGAATTTTGTACCCCGTGCAAGTTTAACTTCGATGTTATTCTCAAGTTTGAGACTTTAGACGTAAGTACAATATCTAACTTGCTTTCCTTCCCTGTTTTTTTGATATAAAGTGACGGGACGAAGAAGTCGTGCGCCTGGTGTTAAACGACACGTCTGTCCGTAACAGTTGCAGTGCCACTCAGAGCTTTAACTCACAAAGATCTAAGGGGCGCTTACACTGCGCCCGTCACTCTCGAGTCACTAATATGTTGACAAGTCCCATGTGCTCATTATGTGCCTATAATTTTACTAGCACCCTTATCATTCAAAATCGAAACGCAGTAATGTTACTAAATAGGTAAAAACGTAAATAGGTAAGGTGGCAGCACTTCCTTTGACGAAGCCTTTCACAAGAAGCTACTTACTAGCTTTGTACTACAAAATAGGCAACTTATTTCATACTTTTTCGAAGATATTTTTTCGACCTATAATATTACTGGATGCGATTTAAAATTTTTGACAAAATAATGATTACATCTAAAATTCAACAAAGAAGTTTTGTATACACGAGCACCTACGTAAATAACATTTAAAGTTAACACTGTTTATTTCAATCATTTCAGTCTAGATAAAATTTGATAGGAATAAAGTAAAATAAATAAAAAAACAATTACTTACTTTTATAAATCGTTAGATTTTTTATAGAAAATTATAAAGTTAATTTGCACTTTTTTCTCATACCTCAGTTTAGTCAGTATCAAATAACCCCTTTATAGGTTTGTAGGTAACTTACCTAATTAACCTATACAGTTATAGGTTAATGATTATTTTTATTTCATTACTGGTTATTTACATTAGCCGGTTAATACGCATAGGTATATGTATATATAAGTTTCCCCTTGTATATGATGATAACATTGTCGAAGCTCTAGATGTTCCGGTACCGAGGAGGTTTTTCTTTGGACGATCTTTTTTTCTATTTCCGGGAACGATCTATGCGAAATAAGTTCGACCCCTCCTACGTAAAGTGTTGTATGTCGAAATTGCCAAGTTTACAGGGGAACGTTTTAAGTTCTCCGTTTTATTCGGCAAAGCCCGTTATTCACATAGAGTGATCATCTAATAGATCATCATATATCATCTAACCGATATCTAGGATTTTATAATACTCTATGTGAGTAACGAGCTTTGTCGAATAAAACCGAGAAATGCGAAAGTGACGTGTTGTGCTTGTGCTTATGCTTGTCGAGACACGTCAGAATTATTATATTATTAATATTACAGAATTAAATGTAGCGTTTCACCAAAAAGGTAAAGTCTGAAAAACAGCTCAAGCTGAGACTCTTGCCTTTTTATCTACATATGTAACTTCAGATTATGTTATTTAAGGCTAAATTATTATTTAATGTAGATAAATAAAGCTCTTATTATTATTATTATTATTATTATTATTTTCGTATTTATTTTAAACTCTCGCCTCTCCCAAGGCCTAAAAAATTAATTTTTAAATTATTAAATTTATTATTTCAGTGAATTCGGAACTTTAAAAAAAGGCTCACAGGTAAACATGGCAATTTCGACATACGATACTTTACGTAGGAGGGGTCGAGTTGCGCATCTGTGTTACAGAGTTTTAGCTACTTTATCGAGCCATATTATGGTAATGATGTTGTTGGTAGTAAGTAATTATGTACAAATTCATAACTTTTTATTAAAAAAACCGACCTCAAAAGCTTGTTACCGCGGTGTCTTATTTTCACTGGAGTTACATCTATGTGCCAAGTTTTATTAAAACCGGTTAATGTAAAGTGGGTGAACGCAATAAACTGCATTCATACCCTAACTGAAGTACCTAACTGAAGTGAAGTTTCCAACAAATGAAAATTGAAATCGTTTCACAAATGTTTGTAACATACACTAAAAAAAGAGTACCAGTTTTAATAGGTTTCCTTGTGAAAGGGTTCGTCCGGGGTAGTACTGCCACCTTACCTATTTCTGCCGCCAAACAATAATGTTAGCATTATTGTGTTCCAGTTTTGAAGGGTAAGCGTGATGGTGAAATTACAGGCACATGAGACTTGTAAACTTATATCTCAGGGTGACGGCCGCAGTGGCAGTACCCCTCAAGTCTTTGCGTCTCTGCTCTTTCAGCTCTGGGTGCCAATGCAACTTTACCCCTGCAAATGCAACAGTACCCCTCAGATTTTTGCGATTTAAAGCTCTGAGTGGCACTGCAACTGTTACAAACAGGCGTGTAGCTTACCATCAGGCACACATGACTCGTTCGTCCCGTCACTTAATATTATAAAAGAAATTACAATGAAATGAGAACCTTTTTTGGAGTCGGTTAATTGGTAATAAAACCGTTAGTTACTAGCTTTGTACTGTTATTTTTTGTCCCAAAAAGAAATAAATAAATATTATGGGTATCAGATAGAACAATGACAGACCAAGCAATAATTTTTTGAGTCTAATTAGTCAGGTAAGCGATGTTGTGGAGTATAAAATCAAAATTATTTACACAATATTCATCCTAAGCGAGTATGTAGGTAGAGAAGTCTTTCCCACGGTGTTATCCAAACACATAGATAAAAGCCAGACAAAAAGGCTCTCTATGTTACTCAACACATGTAGATATGACATTTTACCGGAAAATGCTCGTCAACATGTCGTCTTGAGTGTCTTTTTATACGTTAGAAACAGCGAGTTACTGCCATAGTTACAATATGTAAACATGGCTTTTAGAAGCGGATATTGGACACAGTCAATTTACAGACCAATGTTAGTCACCAAACAAATATCCCGTCCGTGGGACAAACCTATAAATACGCGTTAGTAACAGTACAAACTAATATTGTGCCGTTACTCTAATTTGCGTATTGTAGAGTTTACACAGGATGAAGGACGATGTAGGTACCAAAAATAAACACAGTTACAACTAATTATTAATGATTCACATAAACACACGCACGCGCGCGCTGAAAATACTAATTCACACACTTGGTGTAATAAGGCCACATCCGCAAAAAAAGGTTTTTTACAATGGAATGGAATAAACATTTAAAATTATAACTTTTTAAGGCTTAAATAGGAGAATTATAAAATTTCACATATACGTATTTTTTTTTAATATATAATACCAAGCGACGGGACGGACAAGTCGTATGCCTGATGGTAAGCTACACGCCTGTCCATAACAGTGGTAGCGCCGCTTTGGGCTTTAAATAGCAAAGATCTGAGAGGCATTGTCACTGCGCCCATCACCCTGAGACATAAGATGACAAGTCCCATGTGCCTGTAATTTCACCAGCACCCTCAACCTTCAAAACTGGAAAACAGCAACGCTGGCATTACTGCTTGGTGGCAGGAGTAGGTAAGTTGGCAGAACATCCTTGAACGAACTCTTACACAAGGAGCTCTACGGCTACTTCACAATTCACACTGCTATGTCCAACTGAAATCTTAAGTACTAAGCTTGTCCACTCTATACTACAAAAGGTCTCACTAAAAAAGTACTCCCTTTTTACAGGAAGACCAACGATATCTGATCCAGTTAGCACACCTTCAGGATGTGGTAAAACCTGAATGGAAGAACAGCGGGAAGGGCAAAGACACAATGCATAACATCAATCATCTGTACGCAAGACTCTCGGGGCCGCAGTTGGATGGCCTTTTTGACTTGTACAGGTAAGTTACAGACCAGGCATGAACGATAACTAGAATTATCATATGCATAAATGTCACGTGTTAAAAAAACGCACGGTTATATGGCTTTAAAATTTTGATAATTCTAATTTATAACTAATTTTTTATGCATATCTACACTATTGCATACCTACACTAGTAATTACCCTAGACGCATAATGTCAGAAAAACCAAACACTTATCTTATAAAGAGTGATTATTCAGGAGATGGCAAAAATTTCTATTTATTTTAAATTTCTTATCAAGGATGTTAATTTGGATGCATTACTGTAAGAATTGGTAAACGCCAGTGTGTGAATATGAAGGAAATTGATGTGAAATCATCCAGATATGTATATGTACAATGCATTTTTTGCATTTCAATTACTTTGTGTTTTAAGACACGATTTTGAGAAATTAAGGCAACGATAAGGTAAACAAAGTATTAAAAAACTTTGTCTATTTGCGAACTTTTATTGAAATCTGTTTACTGGAAATGGGTGAAATCCAATAAATCGGATTCATCACAGTAATTGGCTTCAGAGGTGGAATACTTTCTTCAAATTTGAATGGGAATACTGCTGAGGTACCCTATTTCCAAAAAAAAAGAACCATCGAAATCGGTTCACAAAATGTCGGCGTGTGTCGCGTAATATACGCACACAAAAAATACAGTCGAATTGAGAACCTCCTTCATTTTTTGAAATTGGTTAAAAAGCAATAAATCTGGCTGAAAATAAACAATTACTCTTTTTCATTGATCTGAGTCGCTCAACAATTGTGTACGAAAGCAAGTCAGTATTCCCCGCTGCGTTGAAGTTTATTATAAATAGGTAGTATAGAAAAAAAAATTAAGATGCTATTTGTGTATCCTCTTTTTAGAAAAACATTCAGTGTAATAAAGTCTTACAAAAAATACGTTAAATTATAAAAGACCAGATTGTTCAATTAAATAAGCACTATATTTTGAATTTGTTCTGAACCTCTGTTTTTTTTGTTATAAACAGTTAGTCGAAAACATTCTAATAAGTTGTTTTCGACTGAAGGACTTTGTGGACGACGGAATTCAATATGGCCAGAAAGAATAAAAAAATTATTTTTTATTCATTAAAAAAAATACCAAAAACACACTCAATTTGTATCTATAAAACATCGATATTAAGCACGAACCATCAACCGGCGACTGCGTCATGTTAGAAACAATATCACATAACAGGAAAGTAATCGCGTTATGGAATAAGGAAAGCACTAAACAATTTTTTTCTTTAAATTTTTATTGACTTGATGTTCAATTTTTTTTTATGTGAAATTACTCCTCTAGTTTGTTAGATCGAATACTCAGAAAAAATTCTTTCGATCCGGCCGGATTCGTGTCATAAAAAATAAAGGAATATCAATTCAATAAAAAATTAAATACAATGAATATCGACATCTCTAGCCAGGGCTGGTAGCTGTAAAGGTATCTAACTGGGTGACGAAATACTTAAGATTTCTCATAGATGGCGCTACGGCAAAGTCGTTGAAAAAACCAAATACAAAGACCCGACAACAAACACAGAAAAATTCGTGAGGTCCGCTGGTTCGTTCCGCGGCTTAGTTGGTATAATGTCTGGCACGGTATGCTCGAAAACGACGGTTCGAATCCGGCCGAATCGAAGGATTTTTTTCTGAGTGTTCGATCTTTGTTTTTTTTATCACTTTGAATTGCATATGAATACTATAAACAAATGTACATAGATGATAAGTCTCTCTATCGCGCGTGATCAGAAAAATGGCGCGCGGGAAAGCCTGCACGCCCAATCGTGCGCGATTACCTATTTGAAATTTTTTAAGCTAACGTTCTAGCGCGCGATGGCTTTTGTTCGATTTTGTCACAACGGAAAGAGCGTCCGTCCGTGTAAAGGCTAATGGCGCAGGATAGACCGCGTGAAACGGGCGCGTGTTGAGGTACGCGATTGCGCGCGCTACTGATGAATGCGATCGCACAGTGTTTACTTTTTTCTTCCAACAATTGCTGTATCGCGATAGAGTGTCTGTGTAAAGCCCGCTAATGTTTCCTTATTGTCTTTAAATAAAGAGAAACTCGAAAATGTATACGTTTCTTTAATAGTACGCTTTCAACTGTTCCAGGGAAATAAATTTTTTTCGTGTTATTATGATAGGACCTATTAGTAAATGATATTGAAGAACCAATATTCGTGTCATATTGTGTTACATAACACTTTATGCTTTGTGTTTCAGATATGACTTTACGCTCTTCAATTACACCATGGACAGTTACTACGAGCTACTAACCAGTGGTGAAACCGAATGAGCTCTCTATTTTTGCTCGTGTTTGTCTACGCTAAACCGGATTTCTCCGGTCACAACCGGATTGTTGCGGACGTAAGAGTCAATTTGGGTGGGTTGTTTACTTTTTATACGGAGTGATTTACGGACACTGCATGTAAATGTGTTTCTATTATGAAAAGAACATCCTAGTGGATAATATATAATATCGAAAATGTAAACATGAACAATATTTACCCAACTTTGGTAAAGACAAACAATTTTGGCTCAGCGCCTAACCAGTTTCAGCACAAGAGTTAGCAATCAGAAAGCGAGGAAGGTTAATCAATATAGAATAATTTATCAATGTTGCCATTGATGACTGATGACTGGAGTGATCGTTAAACCTAATGATTGATGTGAGATATATCGATTGATTGGGAATACACGGACGGCACCCTTAACGTCAATTCACAATATTATCATCTAACGAGCGGAAACATCGTATCTATCGAATGATTTCGATTAGGAAACTTCATTAGTATGGAACTTTATAAAAGACCTAGCTGAATAAAAATGGAAGTAAATTAATTTACTACTTCGCGAACCTAGTGACGGTTCAAATCGGAATGAAGCAAAATAGCTAAGCGCTAGTGTTGAATATTATTTTCACCACCCTCACTCCGTTTTTTTTTTATGGTAGGTGACGGGACGAAAAAGTGTTGCACCTGGTGCTAAGGGACAATAGCAGTTGCACAGATCCGAGGGGCACTGCCACTGCAACCGTCACCCTGAGACACAAGTTGACAAGTCCTATGTGCACGTAATTTCACCAGATTCCTTAACCCTTTTAAACTGGAACACGGTTATGCTTACATTTATGCTTGGTCGCAGAAATAGGTAAGGTGGAAAAATTTGACGAACTTCTTCACTAGCAGCTCTACTGCTATTAAAAATGTGTGTAATAACACTAGTTTCTTCGGCCGAGGGTCGAACAATCAACAACTCCAGGGCGTGACTCGTAGAGAGGGGAAACCCGTAAAGGGTTCTTTGGTGGTGGTGTTTGTGACTGTACTTGCGCTTGTGTTATTTATTTTATTAATTTCATGCGAAGGAAGGGTGAAAAATTACGTACATGAAAGAAATATTCAAAACAAGCTCAGCTATTTTGCACGATTTAGACTTGACTGGGTAGTAAACGGAGTAACAAATTAATTTACGTCCATTTTTATTCACAAAGTAACGCTAAAACCTGTTAATTATATAAACACATTGTTTTAATATTTATCATATCCATAGTTTTCTTTCTTTTGTAATATTTTCAAATTTTAAATAATTTTACATAATCAAGTATTGCTTTACACCGTGTTTAAACGGTATTAAGTAATTCCCAGGTTAGTTTTCTCTAACTAATTTCGGTGGCAATTTTAATTATTATGTATTTGCGTATATTATCGTGAAATATTAAATAACATTTCAGATTACTGCACTCGAATTTATATAATGTTTCGTTATAAAACTAATACGATAAAACAATTTAATTTAGTTTTTAAGCTGTTGAACTTCCCTTAAATAATATTTTAGAATATTTAAATAATAAACATAGCCACCGAAATTAAATAGAGAAAACTAACCTAAACATTACCCGATTATTTTTTATTAGTTTAGAAAGTGGTATTTAGGTCCTCCTCATTCCTAGTAAAGTACTTCTACAGACGTGAGTTACGATGTTTTCACAAAACGCTGTAGTTTGTAAATAAATGTTACAGAGAAATACTTATATTTTGTTATATATATGATACAATGGCATTCTATATTTATGGTTACAAGTATGTTCGTTGACTTGCCAAATATTTGTTATCAGAATTTGATACCGCTTTTTCAGAAGTATGACGCATTTTCTAAATGACTATTAATACGATAATGTGTTAATATCAGCTGTAATAATAATTACTATACTAGAACTATCTTTTTGTCATATGTACTAGGTTTTACAGAAATGCATGAAACGAAAATTTATTTGATAGGAACAGATAGGTTTAAAGCTGTTTATAATCCATGCGTTGTCATTTGATAGTTGTTTGTTTATATTTTTGATGTCAAATACCGTCTCAGGGAAGATAATTAGACTAAATTAATTAGAACAAAGATAATTAGAAGAAAGTGATTTCTTTGCAAAATTTGCCGGCTAACCACCTCAGGCGAAAGATAACCTAACGCACTGCTTTAAACAGATAATTAGTACAAACAATGGTTAAAATGGCAACACCAAGCGGAATAGGCCCTCCGTGTCACATGAGCTATCTTTGCCATAACTTATTGATGAAGCCATGGTAACCTAATGCTATTATATATTTGACCTATCACCTCTCAAGCAGAGGGCCATGGGTTCGAATCCGGGCTTGCACCTTTGAGTTTTCGGAATTCATGTGCTTAATTTAATTTGAAATTTATCGTGTGAAGGAAAATATCGTGAGGAAACCTGAACATGTTTGTAAAGCAATTTAATGATGTGTGTGAAATTCCTAATTCAATACGCATTGGGAGGAGGTCGTGCCCAGCAGTGGGACTATACATAGGCCATTATTATTATTTTAGTTTTGATGTAAAATTAGGGCGTCACTCAAAACGAGCTAGGCTTTAATAAACAAATAACATAGTAGTAAAGAAAAGTCATGAAAATATTTGTATTATACGTACTTCGTCTAAGTCCTTAATGCGTTAAATATGAACGAATGAAGATGATTTGATTATTAAAGTTTTCTAGAATTATATTAAAGAACAAAATAATAATGTAACAATACATCTTAAATAGATTTGGATTATGAAAGTTACTAAAACAGAGTAGATTTACATCGAAAAATTACTATTATAGTGTTTGTTACCTATTTAAATGTACTGTTATGTCTACTGCAATAGTTATGAGTTGACCAGAAACTTCGGTAACTACAAGTACCATTCTTAATTAATATTATTATTTAGTTTAAAAAAATATTATTATCGAATAATATTATAATAATCTGTCTATTTTTGACTCTATTATTATTATTAACAAAGTCTAATTAAATTATTCTAAATGTTAACTTTTCTCAAATAACCATTCTTGTCGTGATTTTTATTTTGTTTTCCATAATCGTCGACGTTTTGTAGAAAGAGCGACAGCGCCATTTCGAAATATTTTTCAAAGGAGCATGTTACAGGGTTTAAAGATTGTTTTAAAACATTCACGTTTAATTTTGGTTTTAATCAAGTTTGTTTTAAAATTGAAGTTTGAAACAGGACATAAATATTTTAAAACGGTCGTGAAAAACTAAAATATGCTCTGAATTTTTTTTCTAAATGGCGCTTTCGCCCTCTTTACAAAACACCGAAGTTATATTCTGGTCAATATACCCCTACACAATGTAAATTACGTACGTGAGTATCTTGAACTAGTAATTAAGTTTTTCCTTGCATATTATATAGTTCCTTAGTAAGGCCTATTGTTAATAGATGAAATGGAAATTATTTATAAACGTTGGAAACAAATCTTAGGAAATGAAACTATTTTTCCGGATTTAAATCGCGTTTATTTGTTTTTTCAAACAAACCGACGTTTCGGGCCCTTGACAGGTCCCATGGTCACGGTTGACTCAACCCGAAAAATAGTTTCATTTCGTATGTGTAACATATTTGAAAACCTAAGAACTCGAAACAAATCTTAGGGTATCAAGTTGACCCATATATAAGAAAAGATATGGAAAAGTCGCACTAGATATGCCTAAGTTGTTTTAAGTAGGAGTTATCTATGCTGTTTTCTTATTGAAGGAAGAACTTCACAACCACCTTCAAATAGTGGTACTTAGTCTCCATTAGAATTCCGGGTAGAGAATAGTCCAAGTTTATAAACAATGGTCGGAATAGGATGTTCGAAATGAGTAGATAAATGTCTACCGATAGATATAAGGAGCGACATAATGTGGTTAAAACAACCAAATATGTATTAATACCTTTTAACGAATTCCACATTTACCTACGGAAACAGTTTTAATGCATAATAAGTTAAAACTACAACTACGCTATGTAAAAAGTGTTTACTTTTTAAAAGGTTAGTTATCTACTGCTAACTACTATCTACTGCTAAATTCAATCACTCCAGAAATCAGGAATTACAAAGAAGTAATTAATGCATATTTGGTGATTATAACAACTCCAACATTTATCTACTTATTTAGAACACCCTATTGCGACCATTGCTTATACATATTATACAAACAGCATGACATTGTAAATATTGTTTTTAGTTTTTATACGCCGATCACAAAATTCCTTAGTGCTTCCATAACATAGGTTATATTGTAACTAGTTGTAAGATATATTCACGAGTGTTGTAGGTTCAATATTTTTTTATAAATAGGTTGACTAGCCTTATGGACTTTTTTGTAGTGCGTCAATTTTTGAGCAAAGGGCGATAAATAAATATTGAGGCTTGACGTTTAAAGAATTCTACTACTGGCAACATAAATTGATGAAAAATACACACTAGCATCACCAAATCTAAAGTAAGGGCTCCTTCAAATTAGACGATTATAGAACTGCTGCCGCGCCTCTTCTAATGTTCATACAATATTTAGAGACCCCTCCCACCCTAGCGGGAGGTGGGCGTTTAAACGAAAAGCACTTTAAAAATTTTGCTTATTCAAATAAGCACATGCGCACGCTTTTCAATTTAAGCATAAGCGTTAACAACGTGCTTGTGTTTCAAGTCCCGCCATCTATGTTTCTTAAACAAATTAATTCATCAATGTGAATAATAATTCTATAAATAAAAATAAAACTCGTGTTTTACAAATAAACTTACTTATCTTAAAACCTTCTCTACGTCGTCTACTCTTGCTTTTAGCTATCAATACAACGTCGCGAGCTTTTTCAGCATAAAAGTATATGCGCTTAAACGTTTTTCTAAATCATTTTGTAAGCTTCAAAATAAAAGACGTTTAAAAAAATAAGCAGTTTCTACCATCTCTAATTCCGCAGTCGCTCAATGCTGGCGTTGCGTCTAGTGTTGGGTAGGACACGAAATTTAAATGAATTTTAGGGAGTACCTCATTTCAAAAAATGAGGCGGTACAATGTCCTACTTCAAATGAGGTGAGGTAGTGGTAAGGATGTTTGCACTTACGGCAATGACTCAACAGACAGGGAATATTAAGCACATTTTCATAACTTGATGGTATCAATCAATTTGATAACTTGGAGCAAGATCATATGATGTAAAATCAGCTAAAAAGCGGGCAGTGCAGGACCAATCATTGTTGCATTTATTAAATTCAAACCAGTGTGACATGAGTGAGGCTGTAACATGAGGCTATGTCATGAGGTGAGGTGTGAGGTGGGACATTTTAATGACATAAAGTGTTATGACAAACTAACCAAGCGAGTGGTATAAATGAGTTGCCTCGTGTATGAGTGCGTGTGTTGGCAACACCCTGTCGCTGACGCTCGAAAGACGCTAGCCCCACCATTTAACGCACGCGCGCCATTTTTGTAGCCTAGATATTGTATAATGAATAGAAGTGGCGCGG